GCTGCATGAAATGCAGCCTGCCTACTGGTGACATCTCAATTCCAAGTTCTTTAATCCAGGCTGCTGTACTTTTTAAGCCAAGTTGCATGCCATGTTTAAGATGTGGTGCTAAAGTCCCACTGCTGCATTGGTTGGAGAGGGAAGCAAGGGGAGCCATTATGGACAAGATCCCTGGGGAGGAAAGGATTAAGCTTCTACTTCCTTGAGGGGGTCCTTCTAATAAAAACTAAGGAAGTGGGAGGCTGCATCTATAACATATACATAATTGATCCTGTGTTACATAGAAGTAAAGCATTTATAAGACTGTATTTTTAGACTTACATCTAGTTCTAATTTTAGCCATTAAGCTAAATTCCTAAAACACCATTAGGGCTAAACAGATGATTTAATCTCTATCTGAAAGTAACAGATTCTTGATCTAACTGGCATCTGAGTCATCTGGCTTGACTGCACAGACTACAGATTACCAGGTGCCACTCACACCCCCTTTTTAAACATACTAGACTTGACATAGCAGCACTGGCTCCAGCAGGAAATGGTTGCGAGAGTAGAGGCAGTCTGTTGAATCTTGACTAAGGAATGCAGACTCCACAAAAGCGTTGGTAATGTACCCAACGTAGTAAGAGGGTTATATACCGTTTCTTGGCAGGGTACCTGTGCGTGCTTTTCCTCAGGCCAAGGAAGATAGTTAAATCCTGAATATAGAATCCCCCCCCCCCCCGGCTTCAAACAGAAAAAGTGGCAATATGCTTACAGTGATGACTACAATCATCAAGCCACTAACTGCTTCCATCCTTTTGAACTTAGCCGGCTGTCGTACATGAGAAGGCACGACTCATTCGAAAAGACAATAATGCTAGGAAAGGTAGAAGGCAGTAGAAAGAGGCACACACGCTAGATAGATAAACTCAATCAAGGATGTTAAGGGCCTGAATTTGCAGGACCTAAGCAGAGCAGTGAAGGATGGGGGTTCTTGGAGATGCCTCGTCCACAGGGTCACCATGAGTCAGGTTCGAATCAAGGGCAGTTAAAAACAAACCTCTGTTGCCTCTGGAGTGTATAGAGCCTCTATCTGAAAGCATGGATTAATTCTCTAATGGAGATGCTGGACCTTTGCAGACTGCCAGAAATAGTGCAAATTGAGTCCACTTTAAGGGTTAGGGTTAGTGCTAGGGAATCATGGGAATTGTTTTTGTTTTTTTCTGAGACATTGAGCCTTCTCTGTCAGAGAGCTCTGGTGCCACAATAAAATACAGTTCCCATGATTCCCTAACCCTAACCTTAACCCTTAAAGTGGACTCAATTTGCACTATTTCTGGTAGTCTGCAAAGGCCTGTTTGTGCTGGCTGAATATGCATTGGCTTATCCTTTGGTTCAGCTGGGGTTCTAGTTCAGCATGAATATATTAATTATTGTTGGTCACTAGCATCCCTTTCATTATCTGGTAAAGCAGCTCCCAGGTGGCCCCCAAATGTTGGCAGCTGCATTTAAACCTACATTTGGACTATTGTATTTGTGGCATAGCCCATTTTGTCCTTATGATTCCTCACGGTAGAGATAATGCAACATTACAAGTTGCCTTCCACCACCACCCGACATATTGGTGGATGTATCACAGAACCTTGCTCTATACCTCTACTTCAAGATTGTCTGTCTTCTGCAATCAGAATTTTTTAGAATATGTGAAGTCTTGGTGCCAAGGCATAATATTGTTGTTATACTACAGTTGGCCCTCTTTATCCACTGATTCTGCATCCAGATCCTACCATCCATGGCTTGAAAATATCCCTCCTCCCCTGAAAAAATCCAAAAATCAAACCTTAATGTTGCCATTTTTTAAAAAATAAGGGACATCATTTTACAACACTATTGTATATAATGGGACTTGTGCATCCACAGATTTTGTTATAAGCTGGGGTGGTGGTGGTGTCCTGGAACCAAACCCCAGCAGATACCAAGGGCCCACTGTACCTTGCATTATGAATTCAGTATTCATTGTGGACAGAAACTAGGCATGGCAAAGAACCACTAATACAATGAGAAGTTGTTCCTTTCCTGTGTGCTTTTGGGTTGAATACTATCAAAGCACACACCATGCGAACATCTCATTGTACAAATAGTATTGCTCCCACTACTATTTAGGAGACATGTATTTGTAGTGTTAACAATTTCTTGCAGTAGTATTTTATATTGTGTTTCCATGCTAATGGCATCCAGCAAAATGGGCAATTATAGATGCCAGCCTGTAGACTGGAAGAAAGCATAAAAGGTAGACTTCTTAAACTTATATAAGGATAAATCGGTCAGCAAGACAAGCCAGAGTAATGTTTCTCCAGTTTCAGATTTCATCAAGAATCAACAAGTGCTCTTGATATGACACAATATACTGGAACTTCCATAAAGCTATTGATGAAGTTACTTACCAATGTTTCTTAAGTAAACCTTGCAGTTCTGGAATAAGGGGACAGCATTTTATGGAAGGTGAACAGGAAGCAAAAGGTAGAAACCAGCTTTTATAGAAGAGGAAAGCAAGCTGTGGGACTTCCCAAGGATTTGTATAGGAGTCGGCATCATTTATTAAAGAAGTCAGGCAGTGAAGTTGACAAATACCAGATTACTCAGAACAGAGACCATGAAGAGCTCTAGAAGGACCTGTCCAAACTGGACAA